CTCCACAAATCCTTCAAATGCACTGCAATCCTATCCAAATTCCAAGATAGTTTTTAAACAAAAACTCCCCCCCCCCAAAAAACAAGACAAAAAACTGGCCAGCTAACATTTAATAGGAAACATGCAAGAATAGCTATGAAATGTATGGAAAACAAGATAAAAAAGCAGGAACTTATCCTACTAGATATCAAAATATATGAAAAGGAATTGGAACTATTTAGTGATACTGCTACTGGTACAGAAAAAAATAACTGGATCAACAGAATAGAAACCAGACAAAGAGAGTATTTTAGATCAGTGAAGAAAGAATGAGTCATTCAATAAAAGATTCTAAAACAATTGCATCTTTGTGTGGGGGATAAACAGTCAACCAGACTAAAAACAAAGTGAATGATAGACAGGTTTTAAAAACTTATAAATAACAAGAAGTGTTATAAAAAGGACTTGAAGAAAATACCAGAGACTACTTTCATACCACCAGGTGACAAAGGCCTTGTTAACAAAACCTACACCCCAATAAGCCATGAGAGGACTGACAGATATGGTGACACTGTCAACACAAAGCCTACTCTTCATAGCCCTTACCCTCTTCTCCCCTTGACTGTTTATCATCTTCTTGCTCATTTATCTTACTCCTTTCAGTAGCTTTCACTGAATTTCAGTGTTTCAAATACTCCCCAGTGTTTTTGTGTTTGAGGAGACAGAACCGCGGAGTAAGAAGCCCAGGCTTTGCAGTCGGGCAAAATGGAGTTCTGTCACTGGGGCCTTAAGTTGATTTCCGTCTATGGAAGAGGGTGGTACTATCATCCTCACAGGGTTTAATCGAACAATATATGGAAAACTGTCCATCCTGTGCTTGGCATAAACTAGTGCTAAGTTTGCTAATGGTGCCATAGTGATCAAATCTATCAGAGGGTTCTGCCTGTGGTATCAGGCTCAAAAAGCTCTCTCCCACCACTAGATTACAACAGTATTGCTTCTATTTTCTTCTAGTACTTTTACAGGTTCTTTTTTTTTTTT